TAACACACGATACGCGATGACATCGATATACGCATGTTTTATTCAAAGTTTGTGTGTGTGTGTGTGTGTGTGTATGGATGTATGCGCGCGCGTCTGTGTGTGTATGGATGTATGCGCGCGCGTGTGTGTGTGTATGGATGTATGCGCGCGCGTGTGTGTGTGTATAGAGAAAAAAATAATAGAAATAAAAGAAATAAATAAAAACATAGTGAAAAATGATACTATCAAGCAGGAGATTCGCAATTTTTAACTCTCTATAAACTTTTAGAAATCGGTATGCTCAAATGTCTATATACAATTTTTTTTTTTTTTTTTTTCACTTTGTTAATAGAAATTGAATTGTCAGTTTATATTCGAAGTTTTATATTTCCCATATATAACTCACACACACACACACACACACACACACACACATATATATATGTATTTATAAAGTAATAGTATAAATTTCATATTAAGTAATTATTAATGAAATACATGGATATACGTACTGACACATACGAACATAAACTAACACCCACAAAAATTGTATTATAAAGATTTAATCGTGATCTGCTGACGTATAATATTTATTATCTCATAGATAAATATTACTATCGAGAATTGCTAGAGTTAGATACACATACATACATACATACATACATACACACACACACACACACACACATATATATACAGTAGTAATAGTAAGAATATATAGCAGGAGTAGCAACAGTAGTAGTAGTGATAGTAATACTAGTGAGATCCACCTTGAGATATTTTATTACAACGTGTCCTCTATAAATCTTCTCAGTATGGTGAACGAGTAAAAAGTATATTGGAAAGTTGTGGACGCTCAGTTGCATCTTTGACACGCGGCAAGGGGTAGTTAGGTCGCTTGTGAACGTAACACGTCGAATAGAGAAGGGTGGTTGTTCCGATGCACACGTGTGCTTAACGGAAAACACGTCCTCTTACTGGATACTTATTCTATTTCTTGCTTCTGGTGATATCATCCTTGCTGATCGAATTTTTTTTTTATTTCTCTCTCTCTCTCTCTCTCTCTCCCTCTCCCTCTCTTTTTATTTGCTATCTATACGTACGAAAGCAGCTAAGAGCAGTGGAAACCGAGTTCGATCTTAAATCAAGAAGGAAAGACGTGCCTTAATTATTTAACGGGTCGACTCGTAAACTCGAGCTCTCGTTCGTTCGCATGTAACGTTGTACATATGTATGTATATATATATATATATATATATATATGTATATATCGATCTTTTCCTTCTTTCACCCTCTCTCTCTCTTTCTCTATCTCTCTCTCTCTCTCTCTCTCTTTCTCGTCTTTGAAATATTTCGCTGTTCGAGAACTCGAGAAGGAAGCGAACGAGAAAAGAGGATTATGGATAGGGTGCCTCTGAAATATCTGTCTTCCTTAACCCGCTAAGAAACGCATTTTCCGATCAGTTAAACTCAACTAAACCTCAACGACGTTTTTAAGGGAGAGAAAGATATATATATATATATATATATATATATATATATATAATATAGAAAAGGATGGAGAAGCTGTTGGAGTTTCGAGCTTTTTACAAGCTTCTCTTGGAATGGATGTTAAAGTAAAAGTAAAAGAGAAAGAGAGACAGACAGACAGACAGACAGACAGAGAGAGAGAGAGAGAGAGAGAGAGAGAGAGAGAGAGAGAGGAAGAGAGAAAAATAGAGAGAGAGAGAAAGAGAGAGACAGCTTTCGAATCGAAGAAGGAAGAAAGGAAGGAAGAAAGGAAAGGAAGGAAGGAAAGGAAGGAAGGAAAGATAGATGGAAGAAGGGATGGATGCTGCCAAGAAGGAAGAAGCTAGTCGAGAAAAGGGAGGGGTGAAAAGACCGTGGGAGGGAACAGATATAGGGTGGATATAAGAGGGTTTGGGGTAGAAGAGGGGCGGGTGCAAAGAGGTGGGGGTGGAGCTCGACAGAGCAGAGCAGAGTCTCGTCGACTAGATTGAGCTGTGATTGAAAACTCAGCCTCCGGCAGAACTCGGGAAGAGTTCGATTTAAACGTACACTCGAAACTACCGAGTCCCTTCCTGAAACGTCTTCCGTCTCTTTCACTATCACTAAATAATGTAACCAACTGGGACCATGCTTCTTCTTTTTCTTTTTCTTCTTTATATTTCTCTTCTTTTTTTCCTTCTTCTTCTTCTTCTTCTTCTTCTTCTTCTTCTTCTTCTTCTTCTTCTTCTTCTTCTTCTTCTTCTTCTACTTCTTTTCCTTTCTTTTTTTCTTCTTTCGTTTATCTTTTCATTTTTCATTTTTCTTTCCTTTTGATGATTCTTTCTTTTTCTTCTTCTTCTTCTTTTTTTTTTTCTTTTTCGAGATTTTCAAAGAAAAAAATCGAGAAACAACATAAATTGCAACAGTCCGTCTACTTTTATCATCATCATCATCATCATCTTCATTTCTAATAACTTTATCCCAATCTATATTACCACCCATTGAAATGAATAATTAATTTCTTTTCTTTTTT